AAATGTTATTTTGATAAATCCTAATGATCCTCAATTAGGGTTTCTGATTTCTCGGCCTACTTTTTTTCTCGGGACTCGAGAACTCTTGACTAGGAATTCCCGGAAATTCTCGAATTCTCGAGAAATTTCTAAAACTTAAAAAAGTCATAATTTTGGTATTGCAATGCGAAATATAAACATGCTATTCTACTTAATAATCATTAACATTTATTATTTATTCAGTATTTTTTATTAATTACTTAATTACTTTCTACTTCTATTAATAAAACTAAATTAAACTTTGAGTATCTTCTTCTTAAAAACCTTTAACTTGTTTTTTTATTAATCACATTCATTATACTTATGTTTATTTCAATGCTTTTGAATCGTAGCTTTCTTCCAATAATTATTAATAAATCATTAATCATGCAGTCTTTTAATAAACAAGTAGTAAATAAGGAATTTAACCGAAGAAATCTTTAAAAAAAAAAGCTTTAATTTAAAGATACAGAAGCGTTCTTCCTATTAATTTGTCACTTATAATCACAATCTTTTAATTAACAAAACGAAAATAAAATAATCAACTAAAGGAACAGGAACTAAATATTTTCAGAATCAACATCAACATTAGGTATCTGCTTATAATAAAATTTCTACACAGACTTATAACAAGGCACATTAAAAAAATAAGAATCGTCAAAGTAAACTAAAGCCTTAAAAACTTAAAATAAATAAATCATGAGCTAGTCGAGAAACCACTTTAACCGCTCAATTATTTGTCGAGAAACGAATTGAACGCATAAACGAAACGAAATTCAATCAAGAACTTAAGACGCATGTGATTTTTTAAAATTTCTCGATTTCTCGACTCTTTTTTCTCGTCTCTAGTAAGGCCAGATTTCCCGGGAATTCTCGCTTCGAGAAGTCTCGACCGGAAACCCTATCCTCAATTGATTGAAGGTTAAGAAAACTATATAAATCCCTCATTTATATTGACATTATTCTTAGCATAAATAAAAATCGTTAATATTTTTTTTATCAAAATAACATTTTTAATCGCATAATAGGATAATCAGATAAACCTACAGATTTACAAGTAAAATAATATTCATACTGAAACAATAATATACAGAAATATAAAATATAAATAAAATATAAATAGAAAATATGTAAATAAATGTAAGAACTAATATAAAACCATATAAATAAAAATCGTTAATATTAAGATAAAAAAAATTGTTTGAAAAAAATGTGCATTGAAAAAGTATATGGTATTTTGTGTGTTTATTGAAAATACACAGCACACAGCCGCGCACATAAACACAAACAAACTGTTCTTCTCAAGGCAAAATGATGTGCAAAATCCGACTTGACAACCTCCTCGTTATTCTTTGAGAGAATTTCACAGATTTCTATAAAATATATGCTGATCAATTCAAACAAGCTACATTATATGTCAAAAAATTGCTACATTATCAGAAAAATTATATTCGAGAGTGAATCAATTTTTCATTGTTTTTTACACTTTTGGGGGCCCTACCGCCCCCAGATGGACATTTGGAGTTTCGTGGCCATGAAGACTTTTGATTAGTGATAAAAAAAGCGACAGCATATCAATTTTTCAGAAAATTTCATCGAAAGACCAATTTCCATAAGGTTTGTGCGGGGTCCTTTTCCAAAATACAGTAAATTTTTCTAGTATCTAATTTTACAGAATTTCTTATTATTTACATAATAAAATAACGGACAATTTTCAGGAAAATTACATTCTAGTGAAAATTTACAGTGATATATTTCACGGTAAAAGCGCAGCATGTGGAACTTTTACTTTAGAAATTATACCTTAATTTTTTACAGTATATCTACATTAATAAAAATCCTTATGTACCAAAATTATCCGTACTATAAATATACATCAAATATGAATAACAAAGAAGTCCTTGCTCCTGAAATCGGTGATTTCAGTAGAAATTAATGAACATCAATACGATGCTTCAGTTCCCTTTTTATTCACATTGGCGCCTTCACCAAAAATTAGAATCGATTCGAGAACACAAATTACTATTTTAGGACGAGACCTTATTATCTGATATTTAATCACCACCCCATCGAATGTACGCAGTAAACCTAACAAATTAAGGTCAATCAGATAATTACTTAATTTCACGTAAATTATTTTCCCTGGATATTTTCCTTTCGTTATCTCGTTTTGTTTTGATTTAATTATATCTTTCCTATCAATAGCACCAGATCGAATATAGATTTATTTGCCTTCTATATTGAGTTATTAAATACTGAAAAAAATTGTGTTCTTGAAATTTAATTCTTTAAAACAGAAAGGTGTCGATATTTCAAATATAATACAGGTTGTTCGCGATATTTATTGCAACAATGCTTTTCGAAAGGTCGATATAACTTTTATAGGTTTTCCATATGCAATATTTTCGTAGGTACTTAAATAAAATTTACAGAATTCGCCAACAAGCAAATCTCATGGACAAAATAAACTCGCGTAACTCTTCGGATTTTTGTTAAGGGCTGTTCAAAGGTTATTTAAGAATTTTGGCAACACTAAAAATTGCAATTTTTAATGTAGTTTATTGACGTTGAAAATGGTTAAAATCGCGTTTTTTCGAATAAAAAATCGTTAATATCTCGAAAACGGTAGATTTTAGAGAAAAGTTGTATATGAACTTCAGGATACCCCAAAAAGCCTAAAAAAATTATTTCGACAGATAATCGAAAATTACGAATTTGTTTAAAAAAAATTGTTTAAACAATTTTTGACCATTAGTAACGTCTGGCAACATGCGGATATATTTCAAGGGCCATTTTGTTAGTAAGATTATGAAAAAAAATTGAATGAGAATCATGTTCCTAGCGGGAGCGACGATACAGCTTGGACTAACGAGCGTTCAAATAAAAACGTGGTCGAAGTTGGCTCTGACACATTGGACGTAGGGAGTAGCTTATAGCGACCAACTTAACCTCATTTCTCAACGAGCTGTATAGCAGCTGTCAGTTTCAATAACGTTAATGACTATATAACTTTATTTTAAAGAATAATCGTGATAACAATAACAAACAATTAAAGGAGCTGCGGAAAGTGTCCCCCTCCTTGTTATAACAATAAATTAAAGCAGCTGCTGAAAGTGTCCCCCTCCTTGTTCCAAGCACTTTTCACACCTGTTCCTCAAAGAATTAAAGACATTTTCTAAGATGCTCGGGGTATTGTTAATTTCACGAATCTTGTCTATAAGTCGAGCCTGCAGATGGTTTAAATCAGGAATAGGCAGTTCAAAAATAGTGTTTTTAAGGTAAGGCCACAAAAAGAAATCACACGGCGTAATATCACATGACCTCGGTGGAAATTCATGTTCAGCATTGAGACTTATTAGTCGATTTTGGAAAACTTCCCTCAACATATTCATCGTCTCGCCTGCCGTATGTGCCCTTGCGCCATCTTGTTGAAAGTAAAAGTTTGTAATTTCGTTTTCTTCCAGCTGGTTAACAAAAGGAGCGATAATTTCTTCTCTATACCTTTGCGCAGTAAGAGTACCATTAAAAAAAATAGGTCCATAAATCCTCCTTCGATTGAGAGCACACCAAACTCCAATTTTTTGAGCGTGTAGAGGGCCCTCGACAAAAAAGTTATCTGGTTTTTCAGAAGACCACATTCTCATATTCTGTGAGTTTACGTAACCACTTAAATGAAACCAGGCTTCATCAGAAAAAAAGGTGATATTATGAAGTTCACCGTAGTTGTTTAAAAACCATTCACAAAATACAGCCCGTCGCGGAAAATCAACTTCATGAAGTTCTTGCTGACAAGTTAAACGATAGGAGAACAAACGCAAATCTTTTTTTAACACTGTGTGGCAGGTACCGACTGATACTCCCACCATTTGTGATAAAACACGTACAGAAGTTCTTGGCGCATTTTCCATTATTTGTTGGACATTTTCTTTTAATTCTTCAGTCCGCTTTTTAGGTCGGCCGCTTCCTTCTTTTCTTGTTACACTGCCCGTTTCACGAAAAACATTAACACAACGCTGAACTGCACTTTGAAAAATTTTGTACTCAACAACGCCGGGAAATTGATTTTGAAATTCTATGAAACATTCCTCAATAGAATACTTCCATATTCCATCAATCTTGCGTCCATTTCTAAAGTAGGACTATATGATAAACACTTTTTGGTCTTGAGAAAACACCATTTTAAACGCTTTTTAAAACGAAAATATTCAAATTATTGATAGCGGCGATATAGCGCTTTGACAGATGACGTTTAAGTTCATTTGCTATACGCTACGCCCTACGTCCAAATTTTCAGAACCAACTTGACCACGTTTTTATTGTCCTGAATTATTGAAAATACAAATTACAACAATCATATTTGTTTGAAAAAAAAGACTAGTACTATGTCAATGTTTCTTATTCATTGGCTTTTGTTAACTGGAAAATGTTAGTGACAAAATGTGATAAGGAAAGACATATGAAGTTGTAATAATTATTATTTAAATAATGCTTGTGTTTTATCACAAGGTGTTTTTATGTTATTATCTTTATTGGTATTTAGTAACACAATAATATGTCTTCTAGCAAATAGATAGTGAATACATTTGACAAAATTATATTACTTTAAATACAATTTGTTGATAACATGTGATACAAATTATAGTTAGTTGTATTTTCTATATAAGTTATAGTCAACATAACTGCAATTGTGTAAATTTTTCATGTAACTATTTCGTGTAGTTTTGTTTGCAATTTTCTACTACACCATAACCTTACATTTTTAAGCACAATCTTATCTGACATAAAAACACAGGTGCTTTTTCCCAAAACATCGTATCGTTAAAATTACCTTCCCGCTCCCTTTAAATAAATTTTGTTTATTGGAACCTCACCTCCAGATAGTGTGCACGTTCCAATTCCAGAGACGAGCCAATTTTCGGCCATAAAATTTCCCGTAGGGTTATGGCGGACATAAAACTGATATATCGCATCTTTTATTGCAGGAGTTGGTCGTCAGTTCACCGAACGAAAGGAACTGGAGGGGTATATTTATCGCTCTGCTGGTTATCGTCGCCGTCTTGGGCCTAATTGTCTTCAGCATTGTCCTGGTGTCGCCGCCGGAGGAGGGGCCTAGGACGAAGGGAAGCAAGCCGACCTTGGAGGATATTTTTGTGAAGCTACCACCTGCTGCCAGGTTCAACGGTACCTGGATATCAGGTGAGGTATAGTTATTAAAGTTAAAATTTCTTTTTGGGTAAACTGGAGTCCGTTCTTAAAACGGCATCGTGGGGATCTAGGTTATAATTATTGATATAGATTTTTATAAATCTTTGTATGTGTGTAAAAAGTACATTTTTATTTCTTTATTTGTATTCACCTTTTCATAAATTCTGCATCCAATAATTAAAATGGAAATTACAAAAAAGCTATGAGAGTCAACGAGTCTTTTTAGAAGGGCTGTTAGAGAGAGCCGCAATTCAATAGCGTACCAAGCGGGTCAACCGAGACATGCACGAGCTGCTGCCTCAGAATGCTTTTCACGTTCACGTCACATTAGTATGCTGTTGTCTTTGTAATCGTGCGGATGTTGCGTAATTAATTCCTATCCGTTGATGTTTATGGTGGCGTATTGTTGATGATAATTTAATTTGTTGCTTTGTAATAAATAATGCGAACACCTGTGCCCCGCAGCTCAGTTCTGACAGCCCACGAAAATTTAATAATTCCAAATATTTCGAATTTTCACCACCAAGAACGGCGGTGACAATATTTTTAACATTAAGGTGATGTTTTGCATTGTAGTAGTTATGTCCTCTCCAAATTTGGTTAGTGCAACTTTCTCGATTTCGAAAATTCAATAGCTATGTATGTTTTCAGTCACGAAAATTGAATAATTTCAAATATTTCGAATTTTCACCACCAAGAACGACGGTGACAACATTTTTAACATTAAGGCGATGTTTCGCATTGTAGTAGCTGTGTCCTGTCAAAATTTGGTTAGTGCAACTCACTCGGTTTCGAAAATTCAATACCTATGTATATATGTTTTCAACCACGAAAATTGAATAATTCAAAATATTTCAAATTTTCACCACCAAGAACGGCCACGTGACTTATTAGTACTATCATTTTTGTAGTAAGTAAGTTACCTAATCTAAATTTTATACCTACAACCTTTCTTATCCTTGAAGTAAAAGTCTGAAATATTCAGTCACAAAAGTACCAGTGGTCTATGCATATGGATAGATATTTATCATACTTTTCATGTGTGACTTTTTGTACCATGTCCCATGTTGCTGTATCAAATTTCAGAAGGTTATCTTACATTTATAAAAAAAAAATAAAAATAAAAATTGACACTTCATGGCCTTCTAACGCCCAAACTAAACAGATTTATACGAAGATAAATTTACTAAATCATCCAGAGAACGTGTAGCAGAATATTGTATAAATAAGACACATATAACGTAGTTACACCATAAATGATTTTTTGAACATGTAGTCGTTATTTATACGAATATTTCGCTCTAACTCAGATGCAAATATTATAGGTCTTTGGACTCTTTGGCCATGCTCTGACAACAAAAAAATACTAACGTGAAAAAAAACTGTCTTGGTCCAGTATCTACAAATTCAATTTTCTAAATTAAATTTCATTGTCCTGTAATATAAGACTCAATCTGAAAAATACATAGGAGTGAATAGGAAAAAATGAAAGTCCTTTTTAACTATGTATACATTTTTTTTTGTCGTCCGGAAATGTATCGTTTCTACTGCTAGGTACACAATATGCTATTCTCAAAATCTATACCAATAAAAAAACTGTAGCAAATACCAAAAGACTGTTGAAAGTGTTCTTAGCAACCTCTACATTTTAGATAAATAAGAAAGAATCCCATATCTGTGTTTGACTATCTCAAAACTTTCCTGTGCCAAGTTTGACTTAACTATTTTTAAAAGTATTGAAGTATCTTAAAAAATATATTACAAAAAACTTTTTAGGCCCATTACGTTTTACTTTTAAAACATAACTCAGCCTGTACAGTGCAGGACACTAGAATTTTTTTAGAAAATCACGAAAAACTCTTTGCTGATATATAATAAATTAATAAACAAACGATTCGAGACTGGCTAATACTTATCCACATACATCTATAAATAGAACCGACTTCGGTAGTTTTCCTAATGGAAATTTTAAAGTTGTGTATTTCCCCCAACGCTTATGATACTCTTGCAAAAATTATGTGATAAAACATGCACTTACGTCGTATGTGTTTAACAAATATTGTTTGTATCACATTTCAATTATTAATTGTTGAATAGTTTTATTCGATACGTGACATTAAGTCGGATGAATATGACGATGGTTAAGGAAAACAATTAATTGAATCACTTATTTGAGAAACTCGATAAGACCCATAAACATAGTTCTAAAACAATAAAAAAAACTGGCTATTTTCAGCTGCCAATTTTTGAAAAGTTTAGTTATTAATAAAAGTTAATGTGAAGTAACTACTTGAACTGTATTTTCACACAGACCTTGTTAAAAACATATTTTTTCGAAAAAAGTCAAAGGCAAAAAGGCAAAGAGGATCATTACTTTGAATTTTTAGCAAAAGCCAAGATTAAAAATTGGTTGTATCTAAATATTCTGTAATGTAATATAAAATAGTGGTATTATAGAACCGATTTCAGAATTAATTGAACCAACGGAGCTTTCATGATTCAGTAAACAAAGTTTCAGGGATAATTCAGGGATATCACTGTGTGGCATTACGATCTAAAACTTCACAATGTTAAAGAATTAAAAACTTTTGGAAAAAATGATGTGTTTTGCATTTATTTTAATATAGCATACATACATAAGACAGTACATATTTAAATTCACATAGCGATCTACTCCCCTTATACAGGGCGATTCACGACTTATCCAAACAATTTTGAGAATAGATGCGGCATGAGAAATTAAGTCAATATCGTAAAAAAAAATTTTGTAAAATCCTTATAGTTTCCGAGAAAAAAAAATTATTGAAGTTGTAGTACTTTCAACTATTACATCGCTGGACAACTGCAGCCTCTAGCGTCATTCGCAATACACGTGGAAGGCCACGTGGCCTCAGCGACTCCAAATACTGAAAACCGATTTTATAATCGTCGATGCGATAGTGTTTACAATAGTTTTTTAGTCGTTAGTGTTAAAAATTGCTTGCGTGTGCAGCTATTCAGAGTTGATCAATTTCGTTTTAATTTATGGTGAAGCAAGACAACATTTGTATTATTGGGAAACATTTGTCTTATGGTACTGAGTAAGACGGACCGAAATGTATTTACCCGTCGGTGGACAAAATTTTGAACAGGTATGTCAAATTATTTTATTAACAGTGGAATTTGCTGGTATAAAATTGGTGGTATAAAATACTACTTATTCCTTTCCTTGCGAAATTCTTTCAAGTTTTTGTCAGTTGTTATCACACTTTAATGACATGCCGGTCGCATTGTGCCAGGTCTCAGGTGCAGAAGCGTATATTAAATCATTGTCGAACTGCCCTTTTTGATTTTTCCTTTACAAAATTCTATTTGTGAGAGTCCCCTGTACATCCAATTTTTTTTTGTATACGTTCTGAATCACCCTGTATATTTTTACGCTTCTATCTACGAAAAAATGGTAAAGGCTAAAGTTTTTGGAAATTTTGTTGCGACATCAAAGAAATATATACATAAAACAATTGACTCTTGTGCTACGAAGATATAAAATAAACTTTTGTTTTTTTTTTAGGTAAAATAAAACGCCTTGTACATTTGTCCTTTTTCTTCTGATTGCGGTAACATAAACATAAAATATATTTGTTTTGACAGATTGCATAATATTTAATATAAATTTTCATAAACAAATCTTTAAATACTTTATTTGGAAATAAAATACTATACAAGGTGTTTTATAATAACCGCATCCTGTTCTAAACAAAGGATAAAGTGAACTAAGAGAGATCAAATAGTTTGTACGATCTAATAGTCCTGTAGCCAGGGGGTCCCAATTGCCTCCTTCATTTAGATGGAGTTACCCAAGTGTCTTTTATGTATTTTGAGCTGCAGAACACGAATTTTTTGGGTAGAAGTTTGCCCGGATGTCGATAAGTTTTTTATTAACAAAAAAATTGCAAAATACTGAACACTTAGTTTTTGGCAAAATAAAAAGTACTTTCTTATTATTTGACTCATTTTAAGAAGAAAATGTCTCTTGCGTCTCTTGCAAATTTTTTGTTAAACGCATAGTTTTCGAGATAAACGCCGTTAAAATTCGAAAAATGCGATTTTTGCGATTTTCAGTCGTTAATAACTTTTGATTGAATAGGTATTTTGTAATTCTGCTGACGGCGTTTGAAAGTTCAAGTTAAATACTACAAATTATGAGTAATTGCAGTGTGATAATTTGTTTTTTCCACTATTATTTGAAGCTATAAACAAATAGCGATTGAGCGTTCAGAAGGGTGCGCCGCCATGTATGTAAGAGAGCGGTTGCCTTCTTACAGGCGTTTAATACACGATCTTAACGCGTACTCTTCATTTCTAGACCAAAGAAACGATGAAAACTGAACGAAACCTTAACAATTTAATTAAAATTTGCAATATTACAATAATTAAAATTATGATACAAAAAACAGTAAATAAGTAATAGTTTCTTATGTATGATTTTCTAAACTGTAAAGGTTTCAAATATTTTTATTCTTACAATATGGAACACTACGACCTTAAAGTTGATAGTTTTTGAAGTTTTCGAGACAAAAGGCTTCACTTTGAAAAAACGAAAAAAAAGGAGCAAAAAACTACTCAAAAAAATACTTTTTCATTACGACAAAATGACATATGTAACACAACAAAAACTAATTAAATAAGGTGCTCGAAATATAATCCTTCTGCTTCTTGACAATAGGCAAGCCTGTGTCGGAATTCTTACAATACTTTTCCGATGGGATGCTATCAATACAGTCAGACAGAATGCAATTTCATTTCGAATTCTTGTTTTTAACTCATCAATATCCTGCAATTCATTATTGTACACTTTACACTAAGATATCTCCAACAAAAAGAAATCATGGATTCTATAAAACCTCTTCGGCCTATCCAATAATTAGGAAATATTTCATTTAAGCAGTTACGAACATTTATAGAAACATGTGGAATCACTCCGTATTGATACCACAGAAGCTCAACATGCA